TTCCTATGCATTGTCTCCTTTTATTTTTCCCTAGTTTTCTGAAGAAAGACCACGTTAAATTACACGGAAAACTGAAGACTATAAGTAGGATTAGTGGTGTACCTTAGGCCCAACAAACTGACACAGTTGAAGATATACAATCTAACCCTTGCAGGCAGTTATCTAAAGTTACCTTGTCAAATACCCAAAGTCCCCTTTATTCACAGCCTTTCCTTTTATCTTTTTAGGTAAAAGCAGAAGAAATTTCGTCAAATTTTGTGCCCTTACAGTGAAATATGAAAATCAAACCACAACGCATTTAGGGCACATTTTGTGTGGAAACATGAATGTCAGGAAGGGACTTTACAACTTCCTAAATCAGTATCTGATTTCAAAGTATGACGAGGACTATTACCACATACACTTTTAATTTATTATTTGCCATCACCCACTAAAATTCAGTTTATGTGGTTTTATTATTTTCACAATTTTATGCATTCACACACTTGCAAAAGGATCTAAATTGTTGCAATATGTATACAATGCCAAAATTTCCATCTTGAACAATTTATATTGTTCGAAATAGGGCAATTACGCTATTATTATATCAGTGGAAATGTAAGACAGAGGGCGTAAGCACACAGTGAAAAAAGAATAACAATAGCATGGTTTAGTGCCAAAAAGGTGGCGAAACGCCAAACCAAAATGCCGAAGGTAGCATCCGAAAAATGAACGGAAATAATCATTTATATGAACGCATGTGCATAATGAGCTTTATCGCAAACAGTGAAAAAAATCTGTTGGTACGGCCTTCTGGGTTCATTTTCAAAGTTCCTTACTTTGTTTCCGAATGATTGCATATGGATGTTTGTGAAACTATCAAAGTAGCGTCAGCTGCATCTGTCCGAACCAAAATAAACAATATATTCATGACTGGAACGAAATGAACCTCACAAATACTCGCAAGACAAAGCAGGTGGCGCCACTTTGGAGATGGAGTATATCATATAATCACCCTTCCCCACTCTGACCCACAATTTTACACTTTATCCCTTAGCCTGTTCACATGAATTTTCTACACAAATCCCACATGCCGTCGTCTGTTTATCAATTCAAATGCTTAGCGTCTGTTATTTTTCAACTGCAGTTTTGAAGTAAAACGAATTGATTGGCTTTCATGAGCATTTTGTATATAAGAACAGTCACAGATTTGTTTGTTATGAATTACTAGTCCTTCTAACGGGTACAGCTTGACATCGCGGCACTGAGAGAGACATTTTATCCCTTCCATTAAAATTGGTCGAATAGTTCGCTAAAATTCCTCGAAACGTGCTTAGCTAACATAAAATATCTTCTTCGTACACTAGGTTAGTCCGTAAAAAACATGAGTTACTTTCGCCACGAAATCGTTTGGTTAGTTTCTAGCCTATTTTAAATATACTACCAACTTATATTATGCAATTATGAGTTCTCATAACACTACACACTTTGAGTTGAAAAACATGGTGTTTACTTCGAGTTCTCTTTTTCTTAGACATAATAACCACTGTCTTTTGTAAAGAAACGAGCAATTTTTGAAGGGTGGGAAATGTGTACATCACCAACAGCATTTAGGAATTATGATGTGAATTCCTAATACAAAATTAGAACAAACAGTGGATTGAATAACGAATAGATTGGAAAGGCTAAGAATGAGTAGGTAAATGTTTGAGGAAATTGGGTTTTAGTCGAATGAACCATAAGATTGGTTATAGTAACATTTTGGCTATATGGGGAATTTAAGTTTATCCTATTAGGAGGCAGGTGGCGGTCTATGATAAATGCGGCCAGAAAAAACAAAAGACTCCGAAATTTACAAGCATTATTAGTTAGTAAGGTATGAATCACACGTCAGAGTCTGTGGTCATAAATCTGTCGTTTGAAAATTTTAGAGACTTCCGCATTCTCTTGTTAGTGCAACATTGTTTCGATGTCAGCATTTTAATAGGACCAACTTTGAAATGATTCACCGGTTTCGTTATGGGGATTGATCAGGTCTTGAAGGATAGCACTACCATCTCGGAGCCATAACCTAGGGTAGTGTCTGTCGTACAATAGTAGGGAAGCCCTTAAGGAAAGTTCAGAAATAGCTGCCGAGGATTAACAGTTTGAAATTAACATTACTTTATAGAGGGTTCATTTTTACGAGAAAGTTACAGTTACAATAATAATGTAATGTAATAATAATGTTTTGTACTGATGATTACTTAGAATGAATCGTGGTAAAAAAGGAATAGTGATCCCTACATATTCAAAGTAATCATAGAAGGAGGTTGCAGAAAAGAGTTCAAACTAGAAAATCAGGGTGCGAAAATATGTAGAAGAAAGGCGGAGGTTTAATGACATCTATAATGCTGTTCAGAGGCATGTAATTAGATGTGTATATGAAGTAGCGAGTTATCAGCGTGTACTTGCATTAAAAAACTGCATCAGCTTTCGGTCACTAATTGGGTGAATACAGTCCACATTTTCGATTTAAACGGAAATATAGGGTATAACAGAAACTTGTGAGAATCACGGGATAGAGGCAAGTTGCAGTATATATATTGTATACAAAGATAGTGTAGTGGAACACTAGTTATTTTTAAACCTTGCTGTCTCTGCGCTTCTTTCCGCCCTGTTTCATTTTGCATTGCCATTCACACCGTAATAATGTAGTCTTTGGAGTTTCGTGGTTCAAACTGATGAGCTGTCCGTTATATTTCAAACGAGTACATTTCAGATTTACTATCCAAAAATAAAACCCATTCTTAAAAACTGAGAACGAGTCTAATTTTCATTTTCATCGAAAACGCACATTCATCACGTTTTTTGAAAGAAAGTAAACTTAGAACCTATGCAGTGTGATTCAGTGTCCGCACCTAAGAAAACACTACATACGAATCTTGGATTCGAAATATACCTAGCTGTCAACATCATTACACTTGCTGCAGCGTCATGATGAATAGTAATTTCCAGTCAACGGTCACTTTTCGGCAAACTGAAGGATAAGATCTCTCGTCTGGTTAACTTTATGTGTAGCTGCTAGTTTACTTATTCCTTTGGAGTCAATTGAGTCGGTCATTCTACGAGGATTTTGCCAGGAATGTTTCAAGAACACATATCTGCCAGGTTAAGAAGATGTGTAAGTGGGTCGATCAGAAGCGCAGTAACTGAAAACATTGTCGACACTGGTTATCTCCCCGGGTGAAGCACTACTGATCGAAGTAGTCATTAAGAAATCAGAAGATCTCCCTAACTAAATAGTCAATGGCACTGTTTTCTGTAATGGATCCGGATTAAGATACATATCTAGCGTTTACATCACGTATTTCCAGTGATTGGGACATATTAGGTTGGTAACAACAAAAGGCAAGACATGGAGGCCAAAGTACATTTTCAAGTGATCAAACCGCCATATATATGCAGTTTTAATAATAATAATTTACATTTCGTATAAACGCGTAAGTTGACAAGAAATGCATGTCATTTTTACGAGCACGATCAGCAATGTTATTAATTACAATCCTGAAGTATCATAAATTAATACATTTTCAAAATTTTAAAATGTCCAATTATTGTACAAGCAATCAGAAGAGATTCTTGTAAATGTTAACTTGTAAACCGTCTACTAAGGTCACCATCAAAGCTGAGTGACAACCCAAACTTCGTCCCGTTTCCTGCCGATAGTTGTGGTCCATCAGTGAACAGCGTGTATGTGGGTGAGAGCTATGCTACCACGTGATTGAACGCTATTTCAGGAAGAGAAGAAAATTCTGCGCAGCTGCAAAATGGTATAAAATGCAATTATCAATAGTAAATAATTCGAAATATATTCTAAAGATAAATACAAGAAGAAGCTATATAGCACTTGAAATGATAGTATACACTTGCAATGTTTAGTGGTAACCACACTGGTCTACGCATGGAAGATGAAGATGTAGCATTGTTCAAAGACTGGTGTTGTTGTGTTTTTAATCAAAGCCACCAAACTTTAAGCAATCAACAAATATGAACAAAAAGCATGTATTAGCTTTAATAATGGCCTAGTTAGTTTACATAAAGTAGAGTAAAATAGTGCGTAAATAAAACGATTATTGTGAGGTATGTAAGTGATATTTAGGTGAGGAGTGAATTCAGAGATCTAAAAAATTAGAACCCGTGGGACAAGCTGACCTGCAAGATGTCCCACGAACTTTTTTAGGGCCCAATGGGTAGCGTCTTGACAGGAAGCTGAAGAGGCTTGTAGATGGTAGGCGCAAAAGCACTTTTTTATAATTTAGCTCAGTACAACCCTTATTATTTTTTGTTGTTGAGGGTTCATACGAACCAGTGATTGAGCTTGTGATTTAGCCTAAACTAGACGGCATGAAATCGAATGTCCGAACACATAGCATTCCGTTGCTAATGCCTCATTGAACTGTGGGAATATGTGGGAATCCTATTACGTTGGGATTCATTGTCAGTATCTAACCACCAAAGGTTCATACACAATATGACAATTTGTATTAGCAGCGTGGTTACAAACCGTGAGTATCGGAGTGGATTTCAAAGTACAGAGATTCAGAAGTATGTCTATGGATAGAAGTCATGTCGTTTGAGATTTTAACATTGAGTTACCGCAGTAGGTCATGTCCTCATTGTTCGACGTCTTAAACGTAAAACTAACTGAAAGAAAAGCAGTTCTCAAATGGCATTTTAAGTAGAGCGTTTGACAATTACGTAAAACAGTTCAATGATGAAGGTGATTCTGATTAGCTGATTCAAAATACTTCCTGAGAAAATAATTCATGAGAAAATATTCACCGCATATATGACAGGGAAACCACGACATGAATATGATAAAGTAACAGGCAGGTAAAACTTGTCATTGCCGAAAATGTACAAATTAACAAAGTGAATGTGAACGAGGGCAATTCGTTACGATGTTTTTCATAATGTTATTGAATATTGTATTTAGTTACAGCCTTTTCTAATGGATAAGCACCGCGTCATATGATTACATGGTTGCGTTACGTATGGCTTTTTCGTGAGTCGAGTTTCTGTTCTTCATATGACTTTTTATTTGTTTTTGTACTAAATAGTTTACCAAATGTTTTTGTAATAAAATCTGATGAGGTTTGAAAAATGTATTGTTTCTATAAAGGTGAAATTTACATCAAAAATGTTTTATAGATGATAATTAATAAACCCCGTAGCTTAGAATACTGATATTTTGCATTTGTAGTAGCATTTTCACACATTATATGCCTAATGTATATTGAAATGAATTTGCTCAAGCTGCCATCAATCGCAACTAAAGAGATTTCCAATGGTATCATGAATCGTTTGGAGTATATACTTTTCCATGCGGACGCGTAGTTTCCTCATTGTTATGTATCGCCGAAATTTGTTAACTATAGCGATCCTAGTAGGCCTTTCAACAAACAAATTTTACTAGAAATGCAAGCGTTTGTCTTTTACAATATCCTCACAGTACTCCATAATCGAATGTCGTTATATATATATATATATATATATATATATATATATATATATATATATATATAGTTTAATACGTCCTCTCAACTAGCAAACTGTTAAATAGCATGAGTAACTTTTTGCGAAACCCAACTCTTGTGAAGCCCATATTTTTCGGTGGATTAGGAGCACTAAAAGCAAAATTTTTCACTGGAGTTTGGCTCTTCTGTTCTGGATAAAACCATTGAAACAATTTAGTAGACTGAATTTGTTGCTGTTGTTTGCAAACCTGATGACTTTATATGTCTTGTTGGTAAATTAGTGTGTATTTTATCCAGCATCATTAATTTTAATAAACAAGATGAAGCCTTGTTGTCAGCTTCTATCAAGAAATCTGAATTCCTGCATGTGGCTTGACATTACCGAAAGTTGCTATCTCATTTGCTGAGTGATTTAACACGTGCCTGTTTATATATAGGAAATCTTCACTTGGTAATGGTTAATGTTGTACTGCTATGATATTCCATCACATGAGAATTATGAATTGTATTATTCCCTGTTATGCATGCTAACTGTTGCTCGATTTTTATTCTTCTCACATTCTATCTTGGTTATCGTATCAGAATAATACAGATTTATCTGTATTTGGGTCTCCTATTTAGTACCTTTAATGCTTTCTCAAAAAATTACTTTTAAGAGTTGATTCGAATTAGCATTAAGATTTATCGCCGATTAGTAAATAGCCACGGTTAATAAAAATAACACTGGGTATCAGTTTGTTTAATGAATGTATCATACTCTGAAACAGTAATTTGGTGGATGATGTTTCATACCCAACTTATTGTCAATAGTAGTATTATTTAGTATGATTATTTTCTTTGTTTTGTTTTATTGTTTTCAAAACGTTATCCAGTAAATAATACTGTTCCATTGTGATATACCCTTTAAACAAAAATGATGTGGAATTACATACTACAACAGTGCTTAAGTTCTATACACTATTGATACTTTTTGGCCTCCGAAATGAATGAAACTACGATTATGCGTTGTAAGCTTGAATGCATCTTGATCCAAAGCTTCTTTTTATTCTCACGTGGTTGTATATGGAATTCCTGCTTATGTTCATTTCACATATATTACACTGTATATTCTTTAGTCAATCAGAATAACCTCATACTCCTTCCCTAAAATCAAAATCAAATGATGCATCAAATGTAGCTTTATGATATAAATTTGTCTTCCCTTTTGACCAACCATCTCTTCTTTTCTTCTACGACTCCGAAAGTTATAATCCTGTCCAAACTGTATAATACCTTTTGTCACATGCAAAAGCTATCTAAATGATTATAGAACTAATAGAGGAATAGGCTGGAAGAGTTATGAGTTGTCAGACAGAGACTTTGGACCAAACTATGAAGTGCTTCTTCGTTGGTCTGACTATCGTGGGAATTTTCAATCTGCTTGATTGAGTTCCTCAGTATAGTAAGGACCACAGGTTACGGACCATAGTTGAGATGGTGCAGAATCCTTCAAAATGCTGCGAATGTCCTTACTGTTTGTCATCTCTCATATTCTGAGGATTTTTGGTAATTATTCTTTCCGTCACACATCTTTCTGTACCGTAAATTCGTCGTACGTTTTTACTCAGTTTTGTGTGGCCTTGTGTAGTGAGGCGGCTTTAACTGCTGCCATCCTTTGTAAAGTTTTTTTAAAACATCCATCAGTCGGTCAGTCAGTCTACTCAGACACATGGTTTAGCTCGGAATCGCTAAATAATATTGCTATTATAATGACTTTAGACTTGCCATCCTACTTTTCGACTTTTTTATATTTGGCACACTGGTTAGATAAATTGACACTTCTGTTGTTTTATTGCTTTCTATTCATAATAATGATATCAAGAAAATTGCTTGACGTTTTCCTAGCCCTGGTATTCAGCCATAGATGTTTCATCTTCAGGCTTGGTGACCTCTTCATCGTTAACTTCTCGGTGATGAAACCTTGACGATCGAACGCCAGTGTTGAAAGAAAATCGAAAGATTTCCCTACTCATCCTGAGCTACGAGTCTTTCTGTTAATAACATTTGGTGTGGTTTTTTTTAACTTTTATGCTAAAATCTCTGACTGCAGCACTGATTAACACCAGTTCAAATCTCAGAAGGGACATGAGTTCCTGTAAGATTGCAGATACGCCTTGCTGACGAGTGCCAACTAGTACGAAACCTAGGTCCAAGGCTTCCTGCAGATTGTTTCCAACCACCTAATTTGTATACATTATAGGTTGGCTACTGATCAAATTCTTATATTTTCTTCATTTGATAGAGTATGTCTTAGCAGTGGCGTGATATCCAACTCCCTATGAAAAGGGGGAGTATTTTGTTCAAAAATACCGTTCTGTTAGTTATGAAAGTTACGAAAGTCTGATAAGTGTATTTTATGCAACGCTTTAGTTTCGAATATTTTACGGCTAGATGTCGTCCTTTAACGCCGTGAGTAGATCACAGACGGGCGTGTTACATGTGCTAACTCATAACTGTGGTGATAGTTGCAATACAGTTGCATATTAGAAAAGTTAAGCGAAAACTGCCTTCAGACATAAACGTTTCAACTAAGTGAGTGTTAATTGGAGCCTTTTACCTAAGGTTACTTAATTAAGTTTACAGAAATATAAACCAATAGTTTGAAAAGCTACTTCATGTGATTGAAAGTGACTTCAATAGCACATGTCCAAAACATCTCATCACTTTTTAATCAGTTGTTTCTTTCTTAATAACACCCATGTTTATGTTTTTGATTTGTGGCATTTTACAGTATCACTCTTAGAGTAGGTACAATTCTGTATAAAATTCTGTCTATCAGGTTCAAACTTAAACCATCAAGCTAGTGAAAGTAATAGCATAAATCGTAATATAATTAGACTTACTAGTTCCAGTATTCTTGCATTATGGGTTACGGTGTGAAATTTAAGTTATAATAACCACTCAATAATATTTATTTTCAACTGTTTCAAGATATTTTAACAAGGGCTAGTTTTTTATGTCTCTGAGTTGTTTTTACACACACGGAAATTTGACTGAATTTATGTGATGCTCAGATTTTTTAAGCATTTTGGAATGAAAGTTCCACTAACCTAATGTTCTGTAATAATTAACGGAAATATGGATGATTTGAAGGCAGATTGGTATTAATTGGGTGGTATTTGAATACTAAGAAACAAACTTTCTACTTATTTCACTATAAATTACTTAAAATAATCCCAGAGTGTTTAAGAAAAAACCAAAAAGGACTTTTCTGGACGTTTCGTTGTGTAAGCCACAGCTTCTTCAGCAGAATTAATCGTAGTTTTATTAATCATCAAAATATAAAATCAAAAATTACATAAATTGAAGCCGGTCCATTTGAAGGTCACTTGTCGATAGATATTTGCACCGATATTTTTCCAGGAAATTCGTTACATCTACGGTCTCGAAACTTATAATCTTTTTAATTATTTTCATAAAGTAAAGCCGACAGCTGCCAATAGATGCACATACTTTATGCAGCTAGATTTATAATAATGACAACAATATAAAAATTCACTAATACCTTCTTTTTCTTTTCTAAAACTCGTAGACAAGCAAATTATGAAATAATCAGGGAACCCTATAGACCAGCAAACAGTTGAATAATAAATAGTGTTAAGTCGGTAACTTTTACTTTGTTTCATCAATATAAATAAATTAGTTGTCAGTATATACTTATCTTTCCTCTCTATTCCATCTATGTTTGTTATTCTGGATGTGAATGTGAGTCTTTCTTGGTCGATAGACATATTTTTTTTCCGTTTTAGAAGTTTGACCTTGAACCTTTCATCAATGCTCTCAACAATATTGAATTCGATAAATTAAAATATAAAAATATTTGAAAAAAATACATGAATATGTTTTTATCCTAAAGAGGTGAAAATAAGTCACTAATTTATTCATTCATTCATTATAATGTATATATAACTGTACAGCCTGATGATGAAGTTATCGAAAAGAGTACTCTTTGTTCAGTATCCATTCTTTTGAAAATTTTAATGGGCATTTTTAAATTATTCCTTTTTTTTCAAAATTTTGGGATTTTTTGTTTTCTCTTGGCTACATTTTTACTTAGGGAAATAAGTACTCTTAAATATTAGTGAGAGGTACAGTTAAATAAAATTATTTTAAAATAAGCAGGTCGATTTTTTGAGGGAGAAATGTGTTTCATATGAAACGCCATCACATTTTCGAATAAAAATGTGGTTTATCCCACTTCAAATGTAGTGAAATGCTGCAGGACTGGTATAAACTGGCTCTTCTCCTCAAGGATATGAAGTAAAATGGTTGGATGTGTTGATAACTTCACTTATTTGGTGAGTTACATACACCTTTAGTGTGGTGGTTACTGACGAAACCTCAGAACAAAAAAGGCATATTTAGTCTTAGCCAATTTGTATCATATTAATCCCAGCGTGGTACACAGCTATCTACCAGGTAAAGTTATGTAGTGTTCAGCCCTTCGCTGCCACTTACTTTAAAGCTGTGAAATATCTCCTGCATAATA